GCTGAACAATTCTGGTCGGAGCGTTTTTAATTTTTGGCTGTGTAACCGAACTTACTTATCATATTTTTACTGTCGAGGTAGTCGTGTTTGTTATTTTTTGCCTAGTTTTTCGTAAATGTTTTGTGTATCAAGTTTTTTAGTAACACCTGATTGTTTTTTCGTTCTTTTCTAATTTAAATTGTTTGGAAAGGTAGCCTTTTAATTAAGTGTTAAGTGCTAATAAATCCGATATCTTTTTTTTTCGAGCGTTTTGTGGGCACTTTCTTGAAGCAATCAAAACTTAGTTTATAGATTTTGATTTTTTCTGAAAAAATTTTCGGGGAAATTTTATCATTTTCAAATTCTTTCGGTGTTTTAACTTTTTAGAATTGTATGAATAAATTTGGTCTGGGATTTTCTTCATCATTGTGCAATTTACAAAATGTTTTAATCACTGTCTTATAAGCAATTAAACCCAATGCAGAATTTTCTTCAAATTTTGCTCCTTTTTTTATATGTTTTCTCTGTCTGCCAACTTTATTTTCCAAGAAAAACTGTCCGAATAAAAAAAAAAGTTTTTCTGCCCAAAAAAGTGTCCAACCCCCGGTGTTTTTCGATCTTAGGCACTGCAAAATAGACCGCAAAATAAATAACCCTCTCTGGAGATCTTATTAAGAAAGTGGAAAAAGGTTTACGCTACATCGCATGGATCTATCGTAGTTGTGCTCTGGTAACTTATAGTCGCCAAAGTGTCATTTTTTAAGCATAGATAGAAATAAATCATTATTGATTGCACATATGATGTGAGCTACCACTGACAGGTGAGACTATCGTTAGAATAGGTATATAGAATGACAGAATAAGCATGGACTGTGTGAAATGATTCTTGTAGAAATCAATTACCGGCTGATAACTTATTTATTGATATGTATGTATGAATATGAATAGTCATTACAATACATGAACATTTAATCACTTTGGTAGTGTTAGGTCACTGTTTTGGTCCGTGATGATTGATGAACATGATGACAATCAAATTATCGAACATACTTTTGATTTAGGTGGTAGTTCAGCAAAGCGATGTCGATGTAAGAGTAAACCAAAAATGGGCGGACCAGGTCACCAAACCCAAAATGCAAAGCTATTATATCATTCATTTACATTATCTCACGACCTCAATTCTGCGATTTGTACGATATTACAAAATTATTTCTCAAAACAAAAACTGAATTAAAAATGAAATCAAATTACTCGATGAGTCCAACAATTTTAAAGCCTCTGTTCTAGTTCAAACAAAATGAATTCTCTATTTTTTTTGATATTTCGTCAATTGAAGTAAAAAATAAGTAATCCGGTTAACTGATCTGGCAAGTTACTGAAAATTTGGTTTAATGAACGTACCTCAAACTCTACGTGCATCTGGCTTAGAGAGCAAAAAGCTGAAAAGAGGAGAGAAAAGTATGTCCAATTTCTATAAATGTTTTTAAAGAACACCGAAAAATTGAGCAGTGCGTTCTATTTACGTGGAGTGTCTCGAGGCGAATACCTAGTTTGTCTGAAAAATTTTTGATCATGGTTTGCCGACCAAAAACTTTTGCCGGTTTGCCGAAAAAATTGTTCCCAGTATGTCGAAAATATTATTAGTTCCCAATTTTTAACTCTGGGATTGCGATCACCCTTGGGGCCTTAATGGGCTTTTATTTTTGTATAGAAGGTACCCTCTAGTGTAAACTCGCATAATTTTGCTACTCTCATTTACTATTTTGACTATAATGAGCATAAAAATGTGCATCAAGTAGTCGAATTTATAATTGTTCCGACTGTCGATGAAAGTGAGGAATGTACATGACCTTGGTGGTTTTTATATTCAGACCAATTTTTCAAAGAAAGCTGACAGCGCATGGGAATTGTTGAATTGGAAATTTTTGGATTTCCAAGCTAGTATGATTGCACTAGGCTAAAATGCGAATGAGATTGCTGCTCGAATGTTTTTTACACTTGCTAGAGCAAGTGTCTTTGATAGTTTCTCTTCGCAAATTATTACACTAGCGTCAGCTTTGTTTATTGTTACAAACTTTTTTTTGTAAGCTAACTCGCAAATAAAAGTGTTCATTAAAAGTGTTCACTTATTAGGAAATTTCACTGCAGCATTGGAAATTGCATAGCATCTGTTCTCTGCTTTATTTGTGACTAGTGTTTGGCTTTTATCTATTAAGCTTCCGTGGCTGAGTGGAAAGGGTGTGAGACTCTTAATCTCTAGGTCGCAAATTCGATTCTCAGATCTAGGCGATTAGTTTTTGCTAATTCGTGGCTTATTTCTACTTCTTCTTATTGCACTTTATAGAGCTGCTTTTTTGTGTTCTCGCTAGTGTTTGCGATGCGAAGCTTTTCCACTGCGTTTATGTGTGGCCAATTATCCGTATTCATAGTCGCTTCAATTTAAGTTGATGCCCATCAATTCGTCACTATAATTCGTCTCAAGTTATAGCACTTTCTGTAGTTGATATTGGCAGTCCAAAAAATGCAGTTTGTCTTCATTTTTTTAAACAAAATTGATTGAAGACCTATTAATGGGGCAGTCGGAACCATTGTAACTTTTCCCTGATATACGATTAGTCTTGTTAGTATCATTCTATACGAGCAAACTTAATATCCCAAGAAATTTTTTTAAAAAGCGGCTTCTCAAAGTTTGTAGGAGTTTTGTGACTATTTGCCTATTCAGTTGGCCTTTAATTAATTCGCCGCAGAAATTTTTTATTGGGCTGTAGCGATGAGCACGTGTACCTTTTACCATTGTATAATTGCTTTATTTAGATTATCATTGAGACGAAACACTTACGCCTAAATTAAGGATGCGTGTTTGCAAATACGTGATTTTTAAAGAAAATTAAATCATCGGTTTCGGCTTTTTAAGTATTCGTCGAAGTGATAACAATTCAAAAGCGCAAACATGGGTAAATAAATGTTGAATTAACGAAAGATAATTTGAATACTTTGACACGGGCATGTTAATCGACGCACATGCGAATAGACTTGTCCGTTAACTATTTTCATTTGATACCAGCTATGATTTGTTTTAGATATTTGACATAGTTTTTTTTTGCATGAGGAGCCATTTTGCTTAGACAATCAGGGAAATTTTTCACATCACCTAGAAAAAACGGTGCCTAAAGTTTAAGTTCTCGAAGATATCATTATTACTTGAATAAAATTTCCTAATTATTGAATTCATCCAACTGGTTTTTCTTTTTTCTCTGGTCTAAAAAAAGGTTGATCACTGGATTATATCCCTAAATCACACATTAAAAAACTACGAAATGAGATTTTGGCCAATCTGTTCTAATTATCGCAGCTCATCAAAAGATTTAACACAATTTCCAAAGGAAGATACTCTTTTTAAGCCTACTAATTCTTGACTTGGTTTTTTTTATGACACATATGCGTGATGCTACTACGTCACTCTTAAACATTTATAATCCTACTAAAAATCCTACTTTTTATGTTCCGACTACTTTACTAATGCAATTGGAAAAGCTATGGTGTAGGGGGGTTTTTCTCTTCCCGATTTAGACTACCTGGAGAAAAGCTAGCACTGTCAAGTTTTTTTTGTCATATTAAAGCCATTTTTGCGGTGATTTGGATACAACAAAGTTTTTTTGAAAAGTTGTCTCAGTGTCGAGTGAATTGGTCGGAGTTTTTCCGATTTTCAGAGCAAACGAAATTTGGTAACAATCAAAACTGAATTTGTTCACATTATTTTAATTCTACTGCAATTTGAACGTTTTTTTTTGCTATAATTATCTCAGTTTTCTGCAGTTTTTTTTCCTTCTTCGCGATTTGAATTTAAAAAAAAGACAAGTTTTTAAACCAGAAATTGAAAAAAGTCAAGTCAATTCAAAAAAATTTTCTGGATTTTGTTATATTATAGTTTTAAAATTCCTTTTTACTTTGTAAAGTCATAGTTCACAAATTCAAAAACTTTTTTTTTAAATCGAAGTTTTTTTTAAAATAAAATTTTTTCGCATTTTTATGAGTCTAGGGCGATAAAGCTAGATAAAAAAACAGAAACCGGCTATTCTTGTTTTAGCTTTTTTTCCAGCATAATTTATTGTTGAAAAGTTTTGGAAAAAAATCGTTACATTGATCTTTGCCTTGAATCGAGCTTTTTTGTTTTTCTTTTGTTCTGATAAGGAGATTCTAAATTTTGAAAAATATGCTCTAATGAATGCGATAGGTCACATCAGTTTGTATAAAACAGCAGCTGTTTGGTTTTTTCATAGCGGTTATTTGAGTTCATTCATTTTATAATAATGTTTGTCTTCTTTTTGCTTTTATGATACGACGAGCTCAAATTTACATGCAGATTTGTTTATATTTTCTGATGAAAAATTTATGAAAAGCGTCGTCGCTTTGTATTTTGTCGATTAAATTTTTTGTGGTGCGTTTTAGAAAATATGCCGAACGTTGTTTCTGACGCAATTTTGAAGATTTGGATTTCCCAGGCAGGTCTGAACAAACTTAAGTTTTCCCTTGTTAAGTTGACGCAGGGGATCATTTTCCTCTATATCAGGCAGGAAGCGTGTGAAATGTTTTTAGGTTAACTTCCTGTTTCAATTTTTTCAAGCCTTTTTGTTAGAGGAAATAGATTACGCGGAGTCGTAGAGGACGTAAGAATAGTCGGATATTATTGGAGACGTTCTTGACGATATTGGAGAACTGCAGCCAACCGCGAGTCGAACTGCAAAATACATACAAACGAATCGCCACATTTAATTTGAATAAACAGCGCGAAGAGGAACGAAGTGGTATAAATATGTTAAGCTTATAGAGGTAAAGGATAAAAGACCACACATGATACATCATACAAGAAATACGTAGATGCTTCTATCTATGTAAATATCCTGTTAATATTTGCATTTGCTTTGAAGGCCCAAAGTCGACCTGTACTAGAGGAGAAAAATCTAATACGAACGGAAACACGTTTTTACTTCATAGTTCTTTGGGTATTTTTCCTTTTTTTCAATCTTGTATGTACATCGACCTTTACAGCTACGCGCAGTATAGAAAATTATACAAATATTCTGAAAGTATGAAGATTGTTAACCACTAGTTAATTGTGTATGCTTTTTTCTGTTTCGACCAAAAGCGATAGTGACAACTGCAGTTCGTTGGTATTATGGTATTACAAGGTAGAATGGTAAGTCTTAATGTGTTCGGATGGTATAATGTATGTTGTATATGAGCAGTATATACTGGTATATTACGTAATATGCCACCACATGCGTCTGTAGAATTCGATTTGCAGTAAAATGATCTCTAAATGTGCTCCAGCTCTGAAAGGTCAAAACTCAGCAATCTTCTGTATTGGTTGGAGTTTGCACCGCTGAGGAGAAAAATACAAGCCGGTTGTTGGACTGAAAAGCATTTATTGATATGCTTAAAGTAATTTGTGGTCAACTGTATGGTTCTCTAGTCAATTCTTAAGCTCTCACAACTTATTATACCACTCTCCTTTGCTGTCGCCAGTATAGGTAGAATAACATTAGTTGACATTTTACCGCTACTTGGATTGCATAAATGCTCACTTCTTTCGCTTGACCAAATGACCGCAAGATTCAATTTATTTCAAATTTGGACCCTTTCTTAATCTGACCTTTTGCAACTTCATTTGTGTTCGCGTTATTTTTCCAACTCATATCAAAAATCCGGTAAGTTAGAAGCTTGTAGATTTTAAACAACATTACCGTATATCCGTAAATAGCAGCTCTTGAGGTTAGTTTGGTTTGTTTTCTTCGATAAGTTTGACTTTTAGTAGGGTTAAAGTCTTATGATAATAATGATTAATATTGATCTGTCCTCAGATACAAATGGCAAACACACCTTCGAATCTAGGACAAACTAGAACTACTGGGCCAAACCTACATAAATATTTGAGCAGAATTTGACTTTACTCTTCCGACCTTCAAGTTTGTTTGATTAGACCAAATATTGAAAATTTTAAATTCAATATTTCCATTCAATATTGGAGAACGTTTGCTATTTAAAAAAAAAACTCGTAATAAGCTAAACTTAGTTTCAATAACTTTAGAATATTTCAATGCTCTCCGAGTATTTTCAGTTGCTCTTAGAACTGTGGCTTAAAAAAGTTAACACCTGAACAATTTATAAACATCCGGTTAGTTAGAGTTGTTCAACAGTTTAATGATTTCTTTAACTTTTTAATTTGGTTCAGTGCATCAGGCCGACAAGCATCTAGTCATCAAGTTAAATCAAAAACAGACAAAATAACCGATTAGGCTTCTTAATTGGATACAAAAGTCAAATTTAAAAAAGTTAAAATTAAAGGTTACTAGTTTTGAAAATGCTTAGATGTTTAATTTATAATGACTAACACTTTCGTTAAGTGAAAAGCCAGTTTGGTAAATTGGGACGTTTTACCGGCCTGTTGGTCTGGCACTTTTCATTCAAATAATTAGCGCCAGTTTTCGTTCTGAAATGCGTATCGTTTATTGTCAGAACTTCAAGTAAGGTGAGTGCAAAAATCAGTTTGAGTTCTCGTTTAGAAGTATGGTCCCGTCGGAAACATCATTTAGAAGTATGGTTTCGAGAAACTTCAAAAATATAACGAAGATTTTTTCATTTTTTTAACATCCTTTTGAAGTTCATCACGTAAGTTTCAAGTGGTTTAGTGGGACCATACTTCTAAATGAGCTTCTTGAATGGGAACGGACTCATCAAAAACGGCTGGCCCATACTTTTAAACGGAGTACCTATATTTGTATTGCAAATTAGTTATCACTGATTTAAGTCTGTTTGCTGTCCTGCAATTCTCTGGTTGAAGACTTCTGTTTTCAATTTTACCGAAGAGCAACCAGCGTGGAGGAGTCCAAGAGCAGAATGAATTAAATAACATAAAAATATCGGACTATTTTATGCCGCCATTAAGTGTTTGCCATTAATGCTAGTTTTATAAAAAAACATTTCATATCTAGTCCCATACCCGGGACGTATGGGCATGGACCTATGGTTGCAAAGGAATGGTCAAGAAAATATTGACTCAATTTTCTCTTACCAAAATATGAATTTTCTCTTGGCACAGAGAATGTAAGCATTTAGTGCCGGCGAAATAAGCTAAGTTTTCAGTCTAATTTACAGTTGCGAGTTAAAATTGTAATGACCAATCAGATTTTCATTTTGTTTGTTCTGCTCTCGGGCTTGTTCTGTTCTTAGATCATTGTTCTCTTTGACCTGCCACTAAATAGTGTGTTGACTTATAATGAACAAATTGTATAACTTATTAAGATATAATCGGCTAATAACGTTAAATCGTTTATTCTGGTTTTCGTATGAAAACGTATTATCGTATAGCTTGAGGTTAAATTATTCCTTAACTGCAACAATGGGTTAAGGATTTTCAGATAGTTTTTTTACTCTGTTGTTAGTTTGTGATTGATATCTCTCTGCACGTCGACCAAGTAAACTTTTCAAAAAGAGTTTTGTATATACTTTATAAACGTGAAAACTTTATAACCTACTAATTTTTTTAAGTAAAAGATTGCCTTTATATACTGTTTGCCACCTAAATCTTTGTTCTTAATTTTTTTCTTACAAAAGAACTGATGATTGTATATGATACTTGTGATATCACTTAAATTCGATCAACCCTGCAGTACTCAATGAAAAAACCCTTAGCTCACAAGAAAGAATAGTCAATTATTGGTTTCGTATAATCTTTACCATTGCGATAACCAAGTGTATTGCAATCGGGTAGTAGACATTTTTCCCGTAATTAACTTGTGCACAGAATGGTCATTTTAGTAGGGATGGTAAATATCTCTTCTGATATGCTCAAATTCTTGAAGTTCAAGTAAATATACCATCATTTAAGTAGTAATTGGGTAAATATTGTTTCAGGTTGTATTTATTTTTTTAAAAATGTCACAATTTTGTTTTCGGGTTCGTGGTTTTCGTCCTAGTTTCTGTCGCTTCATCTTCTGTTTTTTAACGCCGTTTTTTATCTTTCACGGTTTTTTGACTGACTGTTTAAAGTACGGGTTTTGTTCCAATTTTAACAGTGTTTTTACTCTAACTGAAAGTTCCGTAATTTGTAAACTTACGGATTCTAATTTTGCGTAATTTTTTGTTTTTAATTTTTCAAATTTTTAAACCGTTTGTTTTTCGGCTTAGTCACTATATTTTGCGTAATTTTGGGGGCAAAATGTTGTATTAGTATGGGATTGTGTATTTCAGTATGGATGAGTCGTAAAAACTTCAGGAAATTTTGTTTATGAGATTAGTTTTGTTTTCGGCTCAATAGGTTAGGACCAAAAGTTTGTCGCCTTTGTTGCTACTCGGTGAATGATTTCCAATTGTTTTAAGGCTGCTTTGGAACTTCATTTTTTTAAGCTGTGTTTTTTTTCTTTTCAATATCTTGTAGCACGATGTGTAGGGCAATTCCACGTTTTTCAAGCTAGTTGAATACTGGCTGTTATTTTCTGCCGCAAGTTTTTATCAAAATGAGTTTCATTTGGTACAAACATTTGAAATTTTTGGGTGTTTTGTTTTTTGGCGTTTAGTCAATTTTTATACGATATGCTGGCTCTCTGTATTTCAAGTGGTGCGAAGCTCAGCTTGGTATTTCTGTATAATTCATCCTATGAAACTGATTTCTCCCATAATTCTATATCGTAAGAGATTTTTTTTCTGAATAAAATGACGTTTATCACATCACCTTTATAAAACACTGGTAGCAACTTAATAGAATATGAAAATAACTTGAATTTATTGTCGATGATGGCTCAAGTGAACAATCTAGCCTTGTACAATTAGGGAGATCATTCTGCTGATTAGTTAATTTTTAATGAAGATTTGATGAACTTAGTGACTGCTTGTGAACATAGCTTGTTTTCTAATGTTTTTGAAAAATTGCAATGAAATATATTAAAAGATCTCTACTCGCATTGTCGTTTTCTATATTTTTTCTGGTATGTGTTTCGTTAGAGTGCAGTAGAATTTTTCACTTTGATGTGCGGAATCGCAAAAATACCTCAACTAAATTGTTGTTACGATTAATTTTACAATAAAAAACAACAAAAATTGTATTTCGTGAAAGTGGATCAAAAGTTAAAAATTGCAGTTTTGAAAAAAAATTACACGAATTAAAAATACTTATGAAGTTGAAAGGGTCGGTCATGATTTAATGCCAACCATGTTCTAAGAGTTTTTTCTCAATTCTAGTTGCTTAAAGGTTACTCCTAAGAACTATTTATCGACAACCAGTGCTTTTTTTCAATATTCACTCCGCTATAATATTCATTTTCCATTTGGCGCGTTATTTTGACGCGTTAGTTTTGGGCTTTCCCTCCATGTTTTATTTTTTTGCCAATTTCTTTGTTTGCTTGGGAAAGAAACAGTTGAAAGTCATGTTGAAAATAGTTGTTTTAGTGTTTCTTTCTGATGTCATTTCCTGTGAACTGCAAAGGTTATACGAGTCATGGTTGATTTGCGCGTTTTTTAAATGTAAACACATAGCGAGGTGAGAAAGATGTTTGACGTCAAAGTAGCTTCTTTGTAGACAGGAAGTACCTGATCCTGATAGAAATGCGTGACCATCTACTATTTAAAGGTAATCAAACTCTAAAATGTGAAGGAGTATTCGGCGCCAAACTGTATCTGATTTTAATTTTAAGGGATGAGGTGTTAGAAATCACTTATTCTTAGGTTTAGATTTCTTTTTCCAGTTAGAAATTGCTTTAATTTCGTGTTCATTTTGAACATGGTGAACGTGCTGTATAAAAATGTCAAATGATCATCGGAAATGAAATTTTTTTATAAAGCAATATAAAGCGTTTATTGTTCTGTTTATCTTTTGTCTAAGCTTTTATTGCCCTTCTTGCAGGGTGCAAGGCTTTCTGTATCCGTTTTCAATTTGGTTTTTACCTTTTCGGGTTTTGGTCTTTTTTTTCGTAAATAACTTTTGTCACAGTATCGGATCTGCAATTTCAAGGTCTCAATTTCTACCCAAATCTACCCACGTTTAACAATTATAGTTTAACAGCTATGGTTGAACAGTTGGTCTAGAGCCATTGAAATGATAGTGAGTCTAAATCTTTGAAGATTTTCAGATACATATTGATTTTTGTCGGCCTTATCGATTTCATCCCAATTTTTGTCGGCGTAGTTGCCGGGTGTTCTATTTCTGTTATTGTTTTTGGTAGATGTTTTTTTTCTGGTTTTTCAGTGAGTAAACTGATTCCATGGTTTCCTGGTGTTTATTCAAGCTTAAACTCTCGGTGAGAAGTTATTTTTCTAATTAGAAAAAAAATGCTCTAATTTTCAATTTTTTCAGATGCATGGTTTTTGATTTTTTTTAGATCTATAAGTGCGTGTAATTAAATTTATTTCTAATTTTTTGGCTGTGTTTAAGCGTTGAGCAATTTTCATTAATTCGATTTTAGTAAGATGGCATAGCGTATTGTTTTAATGTCGAAGTTTTTTGGAAAACAAAAATCATAAATTTATAAAATTTGTTAGCAATTTTGACTTGACAATTTTTTCTAAAAAGATGTGGCGAGTGTCGCACGAGATTCAGGCGTTTCTCTGTTTTAATGTCATCTTTTTTTGTGATCCAGCTCTCATAACATTGCGTACCTACTTCTTATTCGATAAGTTTGTTTTACTTGGGTTAGTTTTATAAGCTTTAAAAGTTTTTCGGATTTTCTGCATATTCTTTCTTGCAGAAATTGATTTAAATTTTTTTCTTTGATTTTTTTTTCATTTTTAGTATAAATAATAGAAAATAGCGGAAAGGTTTTTTTATGCTTAATTGGTCCTGTAGGATATTTACGTTGTTTGGGTTTATTTTGTTTACCTAAGTGTCTCAGTACATTTAGGAACTTTTGGATCTCGGTGTTCTGACTAATATTCTTTTTTCGTATCGGTTCTATCTATTGGTTATGCGAGAGAAATGAATGGAATTCATATAATCCGAATCCTTTTTATGCTGCAGGTAATTGATTTTTATAACAATTGCAAAAAAAATCTTCACTTTTAGCCTTTGATTTCTTAGACACATTTTAAAAAAGTTTTTCTATTTTCATTTGAGACTCCTTATCTTTTGATTTTCGGCTTTTTTGCATCGCAAGTGGTGCGAAGCAAGTGTGTTAGTTGTTTAGTTTCTGTGAATAGCTTTCTACGAAAGTTTTTAGTTTGATTGCCTTCTGTTTTACAGTTGTTATTGGCTGATAAAGTTATCAAGTTTGTTTTGTCGAAATTGTTGTAGCAACACTGCAAAAATTAGTTTTTGAAAGTTTATTGGACTGAATAGAATTTAAATTGGTGTTTTTTTTCGAATGAGAGCCAACATGATAACTTCGTTCCATATTTCTAATGAAATTGCTTCAGCAATAGCGCAAAAACTTTGAATTTACTTCCTTATTTGCCCTATGGTTTGCAAACACAATGTTTTCAAAACTGACATATAAATGCTTTAAAAATTTTAAATTTCTTAACCCTATATCTGGGTGCTCCCAGAGTAGTCTCAGTAGTTGCAAATCTTTCGTTCGAATGGGACTGCTGAAATCATTTTATTTTATGAGACGACGTTTTTTCTCAATATTTCAGAAAACTTGATTTAAGAAAGCTCTACGAAACTTATAATTCTAAACCTTATCATAGGGTGATCCAAGTTTGACCGCTCAAATCATCGTAGTTTTAGAGATATGTGTCTTTTCATGATTTTTCAACACTTTTGAAAAGTGTAAATTTTCAAAAAAAAATCAAATTTTGAAGTTGTCGACGCATTGGTGGGGTGAAGTCAGGCTACGACCAGCAGATTCAGATGTAGCATCCATCCTAATTTTAAATATTGTATTTCAAAAGTTCTCATTTATCTAACAATTAAACTAAAAGTAAAGTCTAATGTTTTGATATTGATTACGCTGGATTTTTTAATTTAATTATTTAACAATTAAACTAAGAATATGATGGCAGCAATATGCTGGATTTATCTAATGATGTCAGCAAATGATATAAGTACGGACTATTGAAAAGAAAGAACTATTTAAACAAGAGGGTTTTTTATGAATTCTTGGACTTCTTCTATGAAATATTTAAATATGGAAAGTGCAGTTATATGCTATCGGCCATTTTAGGGTTTTTTATGAGTTCAAAAAGTAGTTTTACAGATTTGGCCATTTTAGATGCTCACGTTGCAGATTTGGCCATGTTGAATGATCGCGTCTTTTTTTAGTTGGCATTCTTTTCTTTGTTTTTGTTTCATTTATTTCGCATTAAGTTTTTCTTATGTTTTTATATAAACAGTTTTAACTTTAATTAATCTGTCTGAAGCCTCGGAGGTGAGTTACACGCTATCTTGATTGGAAGCTCTGTTTCTACATTGTGGCTTCGGTAATTCGTAGAAGACCCATGAAAAGTTGTCCGTCCAGCCTGTCTAATTATAGTCTGTTCATATTTACACTAGCGATCAGCTTAGTATATTATTACGATCTTCTTTTTTTCCCAACCTAACTCGCAAATAAAAGTATTCATTGAAATGTGTTCCCTTATTCGGAAATTTCCCTGTAGCATTGGAAATTGTATAGCGTCTGTTCTCTGCGTTACATATGGCTTTAGTTTGGTGCCTTTTAAGCATCCATGGCTGAGTGGTTAGTTTGTGAGACTCTTAGTTTGTGAGACTCTATTTCAAAGGTTTGAATCTTAGACGTAGTCGTTTTTTTCCACTAATTTGGGGTTTATTTCTGATTTTTCTTATTGCACGTTATAGAACTGCTTTTTGTCATGTTCTCGCTAGTGTGTGCGAACCGAAGCTTTGCTTCTGTGTGATTCGCTACTTTCCTGACTTCTATGTTGTTTAGCGAAGCTCTTTTGCCACTCAAGGTCGTGTAGAACTTTCACCTGGTGCCACTATTGCAACCTAAATTGACCAGGTAGACCTGAGAATGAGGTCACGTCAGAGCTCGTCCTCTCGCTATAATTGGCATAGCAAGGGATTGATTACACAATCTGACAATCTTAAAGGGTAACGCCTCAGCACCAGGCTATGTGCCTAAAATATGATTTGATATTCAAGTTCTACAAGCAATTTGATAGATTATCCATTGTTTCAGTTTTCTCGCATTAGATTAGGTTGAGCAAAAAACTTGAATCATCAAAAACTGTAACATTGAAAGAGCTTTAAGCTGATTTATTTTTTAAATTTTTATTTCAAAAATAGAAAATTTTTTAGTCGTTTTCCATGAGTTTTTTTTCACATTTCTACAATTGTTTGTCGGCTATGTTTTTTTGTCAATTTTTAAAAGAGGTTTTTAAAATGAAACTTTATTCGACCTGATCATGTTCACCTTAATTGATTTATGGAAGATTTATATCTGGTTTATTACTTCCATTTTTAATATTGCTAGTGTTTGGACCAGTGAAAACAAGTGAAGAATGCTTGAGTTTTGACCATTATTTGGCAAAAAGAATTTGACGTTAAAAATCGTATCCATCTTAATAATTTTTTTGTGAAGCTCTATTGACAGAGCCATTTCTCTGTTTTTTGTTTTGGTTGACCCATTTATCACAATAGGTGGAGTTGTTAGCGCCAACAAACAGTTTTCGCATTTCAAAAATCTTGACGAAACATATGCGCAGCACGACTGTCTCATTTTGGAAATCCGACTCATTTTGGAAATCCGAGTCATTTTGGGCCTATAATTAAAAGCATTTAAGCGTAAAATACAAAAATTTATAGAAGTCTTCTGAGTTGATAGAAATTTAATTCGGTTCGAAAATAAAAACTGTCATATTCGTGAACCCGGGCAAACTTTAATTGAAGATTAAAAAAAATGGCGCGCGATCGTGATCGAGCACATACATGCGCAACATCGTTTCTCTCATAAATCTATTGGTTTATAAACTGGTTAAGATTAGGAAAGAAGACGATATTTACTATTAGTGACAAGTTAAATTTGCTCAGCTAGCCAAATGTTACGATTGAACCAACCGAGTTGAACTGTGCTTGATTTTATTAAGACATATGTTTTAGTAGTTACCTGCAACATTCAACTGAAAGTACTACTGGTGAATAGTCCATAGCAGTAAAATCATCATCTCGCTCGGTGTATGGCCCAGCTCCTATTTATCACTACTTCTGGTAAAAGAACAACTGATGAACGTAGTTCCATTTCAAACAGCAAGACGGACCTTTTTCCACATCAATCTAATTGAGTCACTAGAGAAATAGAAAAGGTGAGAGCAAATGCTGTTAGGTTTTGGAGCACGTTTTTCCCGCGTCTATTTTTGGTTTGCTGTGAAAGGTTTTTCAATGAAGTTTGTTGTTTTAATTGCTGATTTTTGATGTTTTATAATTTCAAAATATGTCATTTAGTCAATTTTAATCGTTTAAGATTTCCAAGGTTTGAGACTCATCGTGATGCGTGATCGTTGCTTGAGTTTTGAAGGTTATCAAACTTACCCAGTCCAAAAAAAAAATCAAAAAGAATCTAATTATTAGGGACACAATAGCAGATCTCCGTAAGGAGCTGAACTACTCTTATGTTAGTCGTAACTTAATGTACCTAGTAACACAACTAAAAAGCTCCGAATTGGGATCTGTTTTAAGCCCAAACTGTTTTGTTTGATTAGGTCAAACAGTTAAGAGGCAAATACTAATTCACGCGCAATGTTTTTCTTCTTGTGTTCGCCATTTTGTTTTTTCAATTTCACTTAGGTTCCTAGTTTTCCGTTGTTCCTAGTTGTCGGGGCATCGTTTGTAGCGTACCGAGATAATTAGTTTTTGATTGAAATCGGTTAGAGTATGTTAAATCAGATCGCACATAATTATCACATCTAAGCCTTCGGCTGTGTCTTCGTACTGAATCTTAATTTAAACATAAGCGAAGCGTATTGAGAAAAAGTATCCTATGGCAGTTAATGGGTAAAAGGTAAAGGTTATTTTTCTCTTTCTTCAAAATAGTTCTTTTGTTAATAAGTATGAGTGTTAATCTAACGATGGAAACATTACAGGCAAGGTGTGCTTATTGTTATCTTGCTCTATTGAAATCATCCGTTCAGTCGGCATTGAGTTAACCGATGTTTTGATTTGTGTTGTTTATTTCATTCAAGGTAAATGCGTGCTTTTGTTCATTTTCAATAAATAAAAATGGTTTATCGTAAGATAGAAAATTGATTCAAATTGAATCATGTTTGACAAATGAGTTCGAGGTTCCTAGATCGCGAACCTTTTTTTCAGGATCGCATAAAACCGACAGAGAAAAATGCGACAAAATTGTTTAAAAAAAATTGCTTTCAAAATTTTCTTACATACCGATGCTAAATTTTAGTAGTTGACTATTAAATTAAATTACCCCAATTCAATTGATATCAAATTTGCCTAAGAAAATTTTACTGGAGGGGATCCCGCCCGAAGGACCGAATGCGAGAAAATAGTGAGATCCAATCAAGTTCTGCAATCAAAAAATCAAAAGAGGTTAGCGAGAAACGTAGTCCGTTTTGAACCGTTTAAAGGACGTTACCATTGATTGGTTGTAATTTATCCGGTTCTTCTGTCATTGAAGTAGCCCCTGTTTGCCAACATAGTCACCGACTGCGGCGGTCCCTTTTTTGATGCTTGGGCGGTTTGGATTTACACTGTTTGTACAACAGACACTTAGTCTGATTAATCATGGTATAAAAAATTGACCTGAAAGACTTCGAATTGAAAATTGAATATTTTTGGGGCTTGTGGGACCGATTTCTCATTCTGGTATCAATGAGCGGTGGTACAAATGTGACTTCACCCTGTTCAAAGCCCTCTCGCGGCCGTGGATGTTCCTCTTATTTTAAAAAGTTTGCTCTTATTTTGGAACTTGAATGACTTGAATGCGGATAAGTTTGCTGCATGGGCAGCGTTGGACATAATTGCTCAAGCATCGCTGGTGTGTTCATTTCCAATTAAATTTGCACATTTCATTGCACAGTTTGTATGCACTAATAATTTATATCCAATAATTAGCACATTCATTGCTCACTGAAGTTTATTAATCAAGAATGTGTGGAGTTTTAAGTTTGTCACTGTTGTAGGTTGATAGGTCTCAGTGATCTGTTGTTGTTCCGACCATTGAAAGCGGGGTTGAACTTTCGCTTCGGGTGTTTCAGTTTTTTTTTCTCTTTTTTGTTTTCCGCCTAAAATCAGGTACCAAAAGCAATCATTTGAAAAGGTCGAGCGTTTTATCATATTAATTACTTTTCAGGTGTGATTTGAGCGACATTTCAAAAAGTTGTCCCAGTGTCGAGAAAAACCGGTTTGAAATTTTACCTTTTTAGGCTTAATTTAGGCTAATTATGAAAGGACCAGCCTTAAAATTTTTATTCAAGCCCTGGAAACTTTCCTTTAATCCAGATGTTTTAGTTTCTTTGCTTTTATACTGTCATGTTGATAAAAGAAAACATAAAAAGTTGAAATCGGCAAAAAATATTTTCGCGTTTTTTTAAAATATATTTCATTCTTTTAGATGAAAACTGTGCAATATGCCTATTTTGCTCTGACTGTCGAATATTCCTAAGTTATAGGCTTTCGTTCAGATCCTTTTATTGCACCTCGCCCAAAAAAAACGACAATAAGTGGGAAAAAAAGTAAATTTTTGAAGATTATGGTCTGAACATCATGTGATACTTGCACAGCAATTGGTTGTCCCTATTTATTTTTGAGGATTTGAGGTCAATCCCGTAAATTGCCCATGCCAAGTTTTGTTTCAAGTTATTGGAGCTCGAAAATGTTCAATTTGCCATTATGAGACAGTTGTTGCGCGATAAACTTCGTGTTTTTAATTCATAAGCTGCAATGTAGTCCGCCGGCTCATAACTCGTTCCAGAGTAGTTTGAGTCAAATTTTTGGTGTGGCTAATGAAGAAATAAAGAATATTTTTGCTTGGGGTTGATTTTTTTACCCAGTCACATTTTTCGATCCAAAAAATAATTTTCGCCAACCGTTTTTCTACTTCATTGAAGATATCGACTTCATGAGTTCAAAATTATAATATATTTTCTCTGTATTCTTTGTTTCAAGCTCTGGGGTTTGATAAATGCCAATTTTGCCCTGCTCCGAACTAATTCATGCGCTCTGTGATTATTTTATTAATGATGCTGAAAGTGTTATGTGATTTATATATCCGTGGCGAATTATCCCGCTCTACTATATCTTTCCAAGTTGAATTGAGGCACTCGAATCCGTCGTTGTAATTTAAAGGACGTTCCCATTGATTGGTTGTAATTTATCCGGTTCTTCTGTCATTGAAGTAGCCCCTGTTTGCCAACATGGTGACCGACTGCGGCGGTCCCTTTTTGATGCTTGTCAGGTTTGGATTTACGCTGCTTGTACAATAGACACTTATTTTGATTAATCATGGTAAAAAAATTGACCTGAAAGACTTCGAATTGAAAATTGAATAACTTTGGGGCCTGTGGGATCGATTTTTCATTTTGGTATCAATGAACGGTGGTACAAATGTGACTTCACCCTGTTCAAAGCCCTCTCGCGGCCGTGGATTTTGCTCTATTTTAAAAAGTGTGCTCTTATTTTTGAACTTGAATGCGGATAAGCTAGCTGCATGCGCAGCGTTGGACATAATTGCTCAAGCATGGCTGGTGTGTTTTTATGAGTTCATTTCCAATGAAATTTGCATATTTCATTGCACAGTTTGTATGCACTAATAAGTTATATCCAGTATTTAGCACATTCATTGCTCACTGAAATTTATTAATCAAGAATGTGTGGAATTGTAAGTTTGTCACAGTTGTAGGTTGATAGGTCTCAGTGATCTGCTGTTGTTCCGACCACTGAAAGCGGGGTTGAACTTTCGCTTCGGGTGTTTCAGTTTTTTTTCTCTGTTTTGTTTTCCGCCTAAAATCAGGTGCCAAAAGCAATCATTTGAAAAGGTCGAGCGTTTTATCATATTAAATACTTTCAGGTGTGATTTGAGCTACATTTCAAAAAATTGTCCCAGTGTCGAGAAAAACCGGTTTGAAATTTTACCTTTTTAGGCTTAATTTAGGCTAATTATGAAAGGACAGTTGTTGCGCGATAAACCTCGTGATATTAATTCTTAAGCTGCAATGTAGTCCGCCGGCTCATAACTCGTTCCAGAGTGGTTTGAGTCAAATTTTTGGTGTGGCTTTTGAAGAAATGCAGAATAGTTTTGCTTGGGGTTGATTTTTTTACCCAGTCACCTTTTGTCGATCCAAATAATAATTTTCACATACCGTTTTTATACTTCATTGAAGATATCGACTTCATGAGTTCAAAATTATAATATTTTTTCTCTGTATTCTTTGTTTTAAACTCTGGGGTTTGATAATTGCCAATTTTGCCCTGCTCCGGACTAATTCATGCGCTGTGAATGTTTTATTGATGATGCTGAAAGTGTAATGCGATTTATATATTCGTGGCGAATTATCCCGCACTACAAAATCTTTCCAAGATGAAATGAGGCACTCGAATCCGTCGCATTTTGTACTGCTCCAGTTTTTGCTCTTGATGTTTGACATTGTTCAAATTTCACGGTTCTGTAATGTTTTTTTTTACCAACAACTATTCGATCCCAATTTAGGCGCAATCGGAACATCAATGCTTTGCCCTGATATACGAGTAGTCTTGTTTTGACTTAATATTTGTTCACTAGACGTTAATTGCATCCCTTTGATTTTTATGTAGCGTCTAGAGGAAAGTTTTTTATGAACAGGGTTGATTAAAAGTATTCGATTAAACTTAAAAGGAAATCAGACTTTCAGGTCTTTGGCCTGATTTGAGCAATCTTGTTTTGTTTTGAGCTTTTTTCTGCTTCTGAAAAATTTTTAAAGCACATTTTTGTCGCTGGTTGCTTGTTTTGCGAATTGCACTTTTGCAACTGTAGATGACTGGGAACAAAGATTTCATTATTTAGTCAAAATATTTTTTTCAAGCATTCATTCATTATCAATAAAGATTCTAATGTTGAATTATCTTTCTAAGGGCATTGATATTTCAAGGTGACGCAAAAGGTCTGTCTTAAGCTGTTATTTCGCGAGTTGGCATTTCAAGTTGGAAAAATCTATAGTTCGCGCACCATTTTTCCCCTGAAAATTGGAACAAACTAAAATTCGATTGTTGGAAGCGATGTAAAAAGCACATTTTCTATTGCTTGAATCTCGCGTGTTTTTGATGCTAACTTGCGCCTTTTGCATGCGCACTTGGTTATTATCGAATCCAGATACATACAATTGTAAGGTAAAGGTAAGGGTTGTCTTCTATTCGATTTACGTCACACATTATGAGTGCTAAGCTGAACAGGATTTACATAAAAGGAAGGTCGGCTTATAATTACCTTTCTTTCAAAATCAGTGCATTATTCAAAATTGAAAAAAAATTTGTAGGTGAGTGGTGTTTTTCTTGTTTAATTTCTTCTAGCTAAGGTATATGATTGAATACGAGTGAATTTAATAAATTTGGAATAATCATTAGCTTAGAAGGTAAGTTCATTCAAACTCTAGTAGTTTTTCAAAGTCATAATTGGTTTCTGCATTTTAATAGTATTTTTTGCGCTAAAACATTCTGGTAAGCAGAACATAATTAATCAGTTAGTTAAAATTTAGTATAAAGCATCATAATTACTCTAATATAATCACCTAATCTGATCAATTATCTTAAGTTTTTGTTCAATAAGTGTAACTTATTACCCTTGCGATAAGCAAAGGGTATTGAAATCGAGTACTAGACTTTTTTCGAGTAAATAACTTTGGATCGATCTCCTGGGTCCTGGATTCATTCATCTACTGGGACTTTCTGTTATAACAGACATACTTCGAGCATGTTTGTATTTTAAAAGTGTGGAGGAATCGAAGTTTGTTTTTAATGTTGGTTGTAATTTTACCAACTCGGTTTATTAAATTTTCATTTTTGTTGATTAAGCTCTAGTTTACTTTCCGATTTTTGTATACCACATCGCATTCAGCAGTACATTTATATTTCTCGTGGATAATATTTGGGCAGGTAATCTTTTTTTCCTGTAAAATTTTACCGAACAATGTTGGTTGATTTTCAGCTTATTGGCTGTTGGCTTTAATTCTGTCAGCTTATTTACCTAATGTTGTTTCCTACAAAATTTCGATAATCGTTATGAGATCAGTAACATTTTGGCCCCAAAGTTTCGAATATTCAAATTCAAATTCACTTAGAGCACTAAAACTTCAATAAATATAGACATACAAAAACTTTGTTTTTTGTTTTCCTGGTTCTTTTCAACTGTAATATCTTTTGAAGTCCTCATCGATAGTTTTAAAGCGTCTTGCTGTTTTAGTCCTATACTTGTTGTATCGCAAATGGTGCGAAGCTCAGCAAGTATTGTATCGCACGTAGTTTTTCCAAAAGTATAATTACGCTTGCGATAAGCAAGCGTTATGTATAATTTGATTCAAATCAAATTGTGTTCGCCTATCAATTAACCTTTTAGCTGCTTATTTCCTTGATTAGGTTCAGAATAAAAAGCATGGCTTATATATTTTCTAGGTACTGTTTTGGATCAATATGAATATACCAAATCCAAAGTGTTTAAGGGGTGGATGTGCAATTGGTTCTAAGTTGAATCCGTAAGACTTGTTGGAGTAATGTGGATGCCCGATAGCATGAGCTACTGAGGGGCTTACAGGTGTTCAGCTTACATGATTATGAAGTATCAAAAAGTCCTCAAAGGGTGACAGTACGGCGCCCTGGAGAAAAAAAGCAGAAAATAGATTTTTTTTCAATTTTCTGGACACAGTTTAAGAGCACCCTTTTATGACTCACAAGCCATAGTAACATCGGGTCTTGATCAGAAGAAGTTTTAATTGTTTTTAAACGTATTTCTAGGCGTAAACATGAAGGGAAAGCTTCAAAATGGTTTGTTGTCTATGACGACAGCACGCAAAAGAGGAATTAATTTTCTACCATTTTCCTTGGTAGGTAAAAGCAATCGAAATTGAGCTTCAAGGATAAGGTTATCATAGTTTATATATGGTAGCAAAATTAGTACCATTTTGGGATTCGGTGTCCGTTTCTTCTCCAATTTCTCATTCACTACCTCTTCAATACATTTCTCATTCACTACCTCTTCAATACATTTCTCATTCACTACCTCTTAAATAATCTTAAAAAAACGGAAATATTCAGCCTACTTATTCTGGATTTTAACTCAAGTCTTTTAAAACACAATTTCAGAATCAGAATCACGCCCGAAAAACTTCATGTGACATTACTTTCGATCCCCTGTGAGGCTTCTTTGAGGTACATAAAGAGCATTCATTAAGTTTTTTCCTAGGCTATATAGCTTCTTGTGCAAGTTTTTCAGCTTACTGGCACTCTTTTGCGTGATACAACTGTATTTGCCATAACCGAATTGTTGCGAGTCATAAAACTTAACTGAAATTTTTACTGAAATAGACGGGCAACCGGAACGAAAAAGGTTTTTTTTAAGTCGTTTTTATTCGGTTGAATTGTTTTCGGAGCTTTTATAGGTGTATTTCCTGTTGATGAATGTATACTCGAATCATCAATGGGACTCAAACGAGGTATAATCACTTCAAAGGCGTCTCAGAAAACCGTTTAAATACCGTTCTTCGAAGCTTTTGTTTGTCTAAGTTGTTGGTCTCATTGCTCAAAAAGAATGAACTTAGTCTCAACTTGGGGTGTTGGTCAGAACAAACTTTACTGTATTAAAATCTTAAATGTCAGTTTCCATTTTGAAAAAATATGTGTTTGTCAGCAAAAATATTGAAAGCAAGTATACTTCGGACGCTGTAGAATTATTCTTCAGCTTTATTTAAAAGTTTTTTTGGTAATTTTTTAACGCATTTAATAATAATCGAATGCGGGCTCTTTTTCCTTCCCCCCTCTTGAACATTTTTACGCGTAATTTTTTTGATCCCATTGTCCGATTGTTATCAAAATTGACATACAGACTAATGAGGCCATGACAAACATATTTGGTCTTAATAATCAATCTCGTAAAACCACTCGTTACACTAAAAAATTGAAGCTCGTGTGAGGTGGGGGGAAAGGAAAAAGAGCCCGAATGCGTGCAAAGTTTTGTTCTTAGCTACTCGCAAAAGTTTGCGAATGTCTTTCTTCTTCTCTGTGTTTCAAAGTAATTTGTCCTGTTTTAGACTACATATTCAACGCGGACTGAAGTATTAAATTCTAGAGGAAAGACATGCGAATCGAAAAAAGTTTCAAAACCTCGACGTATCGGTTATGTTGATTCCTTGTTTGATTCTATTGCTGCCCTCTCTTCTTTCCATTTAATTACCAACTTCAATACATAGCTTACTTTGATTCATTTGACTTCTTTACTTTTGTGCAAATATCATTTGACTTCTTCATTCGAGCCTTATCACAAAAACCGCGAAAATATAAGTAATAGATAAATTACTTCGATCTTAATTGCGCAACTTTAACCCGTTGACCCAGCAAAATAAGTTTTTGTCCAAGGATTCAAATATGAGTTTTGTCTCTTCATCTGAAACTTTCTCATCGACAAGTAACTCCTCGTCCTCCTCGTCCAATAACCCTGGTTCATCACGTGACCAAATGACTTTCGCCCGCCCTTTCACGGAGCTGTTTGCAGCTAACAATATGAGCAACTTCTCAAATAGAGGCGATACTTCATGTGGGCGCGAAGCGGCATCGTCTGCCGGAATAACAGCCGCCGATTTGCAATCGCAGTCAAGTGATGACGCTGAAAGTGCAATAACCATGCAACACCTTATAGACTCAATCGTCGAGGAGTCTTTCCAGAAACCTCTGGAGGATTCCAACTACATAAGAGCCTCGGAAACCATGTTCCAGAAGATGCTGAATGGCGAGCGTTCTTGGAAGATCACTTCCTCTCAAGCAGATCCAAATTTCGACTACCAATCACGACTGGAGAACTTGTCGGTTCTCAACAATCTGTTGATGTCTATGGAAATGGGCCCTAGTTCGACCACAGACGCAGGTGCCAGTATCATATCACAAATGATGACGAACAACGCCCCTTCAACAACCACCGCCGGATCAACCTCGTCGTCGTCAAGCTCATTCTTGAGCGGAACATCCCAACATACCATTACCATCCCCGTGACATCGCAAGGCAACGTAGGGCGAAAATGCTTACAACCTACGTACAGGAAAAGCCAACGAGAGAAACGACATGCGAATCAATCAAATATGGAGCATCAAAATCAGAAACAAGCCGACTCCGACTCGTCTGCATCTTCTGGCGAGCGAAGTCCGGAGAGCGCTTCAGATTCCGCGTCCAGTTTGTGCGACAATTGCAATAACATGAAGATAGAAGGTCATAGCAATTCAGGATCCGAGGAGTCTTCGAGCTGTGGAAGTCAAATCTCTTCAACCGAATCACGCAACTCCTCGCCCTCGAACAAAATTGAAAACATGCACATCAGTGGAAATGAACCGCCAATTCTCCCGCCGATGCCACCGCTCATTGAAGTCACGAGAGCGTCGCCTCTATACGACCAGCGTTCGTCAGTTTCAGCTAATTCGGATGGAAATGCAGAATCAGCTACGTCCCCCCGAGACGAAATAAAGCACCCTAAAAAACGAATGCGAGACCGCCATTTCAGAGAGACGAGAAACAGCAGCAGCGGAACGAACTCGGATAGTGGCGGATCGAGTGGATCCGAGAACAGCAGTGGCCAGCGCTATGTTCAGAACTTCCAGCCAGTTTTCACTAATATTTCACAAGGATCTGCTCCGCTTTTTGCCAGTCCAAATGAGAATCCGGCAGTATTTTCACAACAGTATCTTCAATCTGTTTTGAGACAGCCAATTCAAGTTTCCCCTCCGAATGTGCAGATTCCATTGGGCTATGTTGGAAACATGAGTTCTCAGTTATCGAATACAATTATTCCCCCGACTACAGTTGTTCCGAATGTACATATCCCGAACACTGCTGCCGAACCGACTACTATATACGAGCAACTGCAACGCGCCGCTACGCACAATGCAATTGCGACGTGCTACGCGTCCCCGTTGGTTGTCAACGACCGCATCTTTATGGTACCTTCTAACCTAAACCGCCAACAGAACATGGGAAGTTCTCAAAGTGAACGTAACTAGTAGATGTAGTTATACTTAAAATTTATTTAGATGCTTTTGCAGAATAAAAGTAAAAGCTTTAATTGTTTTTTATCATAATTCTCTAAATGTATTTAGCATGAATTATGATGTTTTGATTTGTTGCTAAATGTGCTTTTATGTCATTTTATAGTTAAATATCTGTCTCCCATTTTTTTTAAATTAGAGATGTTCTGGACTTAAGCTCGGCGGACGAATTTTCTCCTTTTTTTCTTCCCCTGACCCTTCATTGAAAATTATCTCTTTAATTCATGCATCACGCATTCTGCCGTCATAACACACAAAACAAACATAAAACTCGGTATTTTTAAAGGGGGAACTGGAAAAGAGCCTTCTTTTTTTTGAGGTGAATCCTACTCAATAGTTTCTTCCCAATCTTTTGGAGTTGACGGGAAAAAAATTCAAATTCTTGCTTCATTCTTGCGAAACGTGAAAAAATTATGTTGCTCCCGGGCAGGCTCGAACTGCCGACATCCGCATTGCTCAATCTGTCTATAAGTACGGCGCTCTAACCGACTGAGCTACGGGAGCACATGATCATTGATTGGCTAAATATGGTCTTTCTTCTGTGAAAATGTAAGAAGTTTATTTTTACAACTTTTCAAGTAAAAATGTTAGAAGTTTTTTTGCGCTTCATCTCAGAAGTATCATAATTTGTAACATTCAAGTGACAAAAATTTTAAAGCCCTCAAGTGACAAAAAAGTGACAAAAAATTTTAAAATTTTCTGCCGTAATAACACACAAAACAAACATAAAACTCGGTATTTTGAAAGGGGGAACTGGAAAAGAGCCCTATTACGGCAAAAGTGCGTGGTTTTTTTGTTAAGTATGAAGTATCAAATGCTATCAATGGCAATGACAATGAGAAAAAGAACGAACATTTTTTGGCTCTTTTCCAATCTCTTCTACAGTTCAAAACTTTTTTTCGTAGTGATTTTACGTCGTATTTTGCCTTAATAGGATATTAAGATGTGAATTATGAAAAACAAATCTGTTCAATAGTTAGTTGGTGCAGGTAAATATTAAAATATTTCTGAGTTACTGCAATCGGTCAAGCCTTTTTAGATGGTTTTTATGGCCTTGTTGTTTGCTGGCCTTGTCACTCAAGTGAGCTTGTAAACGGAGCAGTGTGTTGACTTATTATAAAAACAAACGTATAATTTGACTATCGTATTACATATAATCATATATTCTGACCGTATCAAAACCGTATAATCGTTCATATTGAGAAAGAAAGAAAGAAAAAGAAAGAATTTCTCCAGAATGAATAAACATAAATCTGAAACTTGGAGGGGACAGAAAACGGTACCCTAGGATCCACAAAGGCCCCTACAGGCTGTAATAATAAGGTTAAAACTAAACAAATGATCAATGGAAAAAAAATTAAAAAATTTTTTAACCTTTAGATTTTTCTAACTTTCTGATATACATTTCAAAATTTAGGGCAAAATGTTGCTCACATTTATGTGCCGCTTGCTCTTATACTGCTTTTTTCTTCATGAAATGATGTGAATTTTTTTGAGGTAACTTCTGAGGTAACATTTTGAGGTAAAAAACTGCGATATCTCGAAAACTAGAAGATTGTGGAAGTTCACTTTTTCAACAGAAATTGCAACCCCTCGGGGGACGTTAATTAGCGGTTAACTCATTGGTGAAAGTTTTTTTTTAATTTTTGCAGCTTATAGAACCAATTCCCAATTTTGAATTAACAACGAAGTTTTGAAATTATTTTAAAAACGCGATTTTTCTTTAAAAGACCTATTTTCAATTTCTACGGGCAGAAAGTTAAGGGTCTTCGGTTTAGTATACAACTTGCAAGCTCTATGCCGTATCGAGAATTTTTCAATTTTCGTTTGCAAAAAGGTTCCGGGAGTAAATTAGCACCAGACATTCTTGCGAATTTCTTAGAAATTTGAAAAGTTAACATTTTATTCCAAAAAGCTGTACAGTGCAAACTGTTAAGACATTTGAGAACAAATTTCAACAGTTCGTACATATAATACTCAGATACAGTCAGCTAGTTGTTTTGATCGAATATTTCATCACAGTGATCCTGCCGTTATCGTAAAAAAGTTAACTTCAATTTTTTTCTTCTGCAAAACAATAATAGGGTTCAAAACAATGAAACTGCAACATCCGTAAAGAAGAATACCATGCTGTAAAATATGAACAGTATTACTACGGAAGTAGTATTACTACGGCTGTATTACTACGGGTTTTAACAATTATATTACTTATGTAGTCATCACCGGAGTAGAACTTATTATCCAAACTGTTGAAGATTATGATACTTCTACGGTATTGACGTTTGTGAGATACATCAAGAAAGGAGTATGTTAATTGTTCTGCCTGACAAAATTTGGTATATTCCTTTTGAGTGTGTTGTCTATGATTTCAAAAAAATTGTTAAGTTTTTTCGCAGTATCGGAATCGGCGGGTTTCTCATTGAGCTCTAAACAAGAATGCAATGATAGGTGTTACTAGACTGAAGGTTTTTGCCACTGATATCATTTAGTAGATTATAATTTTATTTTGAGTCTCCGATACAATGTTCAAATTTATTCCAATAAAACCGTTCAATAAATTGTTCAACTTCTTTTTCGAATTGTGCTCCTCTGATTTTTAATTTCAAAAAAAGTTGTCCGAACTTGAAATCTGCGGACCGGTTTTCCACTTCTGTTTGTCCACGTTGTTTCTCAGTTATACGACTTTGTTGGTGAACCAAATTGGCCGCGTGTACATTTGTTTTTTTTTTTCATGACAGCCAAAACATCAAGAACACCTGCATACAATATCTGAAAGTGCTGGAAAGCTGCATTTAGGTCGTGTTTTTCAAACAAACTTATTTTTCTGGATTCAGAAGTATCATCAAGTTTTTGCCAAAAACTCAAAGATGCTAAGTGGTACCTTAAGAAAAGATGAATCACGAAAAAAATTTCGTTTTTGTATTTTACATTTTTTGTATCCTATTTTTATGTGATACGATATTGGTCAGTTAATTTTCCACAGGTGAGAATTAATGAATTCGCCCGAAAATAAAATGATCTGAACAAATTTGCGAATTATCTTTGACACGCGTTTATTCACTAACTGTGATCTCAAAAACGTTTGAGGATTTGGTGTTGATGTAATTCTGAGCTAGCAAATTGCTTTGCTTAGTATCTTTTTTCAAATCACCGCAACAGACACACGGCAGATTTACCGACTTTCTTTTGTCTAAATTTTGATCCTACTTTTCTACGAACATCCGTTTGTTAGGTTTGGGTTTAAATTATAAAACACCAACTGAGAACTTAACAGAATTCTTTGATATTTCAGCAAAACACATTCATCAAAGGGTATGGCCACCTGATTCAGCAGATAGCAGATATTTCTTATTTGCATCTTGACGACACCACCATGAGTTTTTCATTTCTTAGAGCAAAAATGATTATAACCACTAATTAAACAACTTTCATTTTTATCATTTTCTGTTAACCTTGTTTTTCATTTCCTGTTTGACAATTCATCGTTAGGAGACTCAAGACTTAACACTAATGCTTTCAATTCTTTCAAATCTTTTTTAATCGAATTTTTTCATATGAGAGATAAAAATGGTATCATTATAATTGCCATCAGTCTACTCCTTCGGCGTCTGCATTTTCGATGAGAAAGGGCACTTCATCAATTGAGCTCACATTCTTTCGTTTATGCCCTGGTGTATCTCCTAAAATCCCATGGTATAGTCCAGCATATCTGCCCTGTTATCTTTTCTTGCCCGTAACTCTTGAATAATTTGACTTTCTTTCTCCTTTGCTCGATCAAAGTTTATTTTACTGCGCCGTTTTTTAAGGTTGGGTAGGCTAGTTGATTTTGGGGTTGAGTGAAATTTTTCCGGTTTTTAAGTAAGTCGGGCAAAGGTTTTCTCTAAGAATGATTGGCCAAATTGATTTGCGGTGGGTTATGAAGCTCTTCTCGAGGCCTCTGATTGAATATGGGTAAAGCGCTTGCAGCGAGTCGATCCATGTCGTTTTTACTTCGAAGTTCGATATTACGGGTTCCTTTGCCAGAATTGCTCTGGATATCTAGCTTGACGGCGCAATTGTCTGTTACCGTCTTGATGTTTTTCCTTGTTGGCATAATTGTGCACTTCTTCATCTGATTCCGGTAGTCTCTCAATGACAAAAAACGTACTTTTCATAGGATTTGTTGTTCACTCCTCTCAACATTACTTTGGCCCTCCATATAAATTTTTTGTCCTTGAAATAAATGAAATTTATGATCATTGAGGCTAGCTCTGCATTTGGGATCACCGAGTAGTGACAAGTTTCTATACTTTCACATCCAATATTTACTTTGAAAATGCTGCTCAGAAGTTTTACGGCCTGTTCCGTCAAGGAATTTGTAGCAGTCGATGGAAAAATCGATATGATGAGACAGTCCTTGCTGTTGTACCTGTCACTTTGCTGTGTATTGATTCTTCATATTCACCTTATTTCTATCTTTTTTTTTGTAGTAGTTTACACATCTTGAAGGATTGGTCTTATTTGAGAGTTTTCTGCTTGGGAACTTTCGATTGAACTTGAAATCAGTAGCAATTTCGATTAGCTGAAGCTATATCATAAGTTGATCACCAAAATTAGGCTGTAATTGTTGTTTATCACAACAATGAGGTTAAAATAATATTCAGTTACAGTAATCGGTAAAAGTATTTTAGATGATTTCACTGCTCGATTGTTTTTGGGCCTTTTTGAACGAGCCTCACACGCATCGACTAAATAAACTGTCTCTCATTAGCCATGATTTAGTTGTTTAAATGAATTATTTGGTTTAAAGAAGAATTTCAAACAAACGCGCAATTGAAAAACATTTGCAAATTTTCTAATGGGATTGGATTTTTGTACAATTAACGCATATAATACTTTTCCTCGATTGAATAAAATCAGGCTTTTACCGAAGGAAAAAATCCTATTTTATTCCCCCTACATCCTTTTTGATATGAAGTTGGTGACGTTTAAAATCAGCTTCATTTTTTCAGCTTTGTTCCTCGTTTTCAACTTCATCTTTAACAAAAGCTATCAAAACTTGAACATATACTTTGAAGATTAGATTGTTTTTTTCACTTGCGAGGGCAAGTGACTTGTTGAATATCTGTTATTTCAAC